ACTTGGTGATGTTGACCTTGAGTGATCTAGTTTCAAGGTCTATGCCAACCGTAGTGCCATTTGTGGGTGTGGCTGTGGATCAAAAAAAGAAACCCTGGCAAATGGAAACATGGACTAAAACCTGCGGTCCCCTGCTGGTTTAATTTTGACCCATACCCATATTGCCATGCCCTTTAGGAGTGTTGTGGCTCCGTCAAGGATCGCAAGAACTTTGATGCGTTCACCGGTTGCTAAGGAACCTTGGCAACGATCAACAAATGTCAACTCGCCGAACGTCTCTGCTCTGAGGCCACTGGTCTTGCTCCGTGGTGGAGCCATGGCAGTCTTCAGTCCCGAATCTGAACTGACACATGGTGATGTTGCAGGTGAAGTTTCCTGAGCTCTGTTTTCAGGGTCATGCGTGTATGCGTCTGAGTGCAAGTAGTTATGTAACTTGTGGCTCAGTTGGAGTGACAGGCGATGCTTCTAGGATCTCTTGGCTCAGCGGCGCGCCGGCCTGGCGCTGGTGCGATCGTGTCTACTGGCTTGTCTATGTGGATTTGCTCTGCTGTTAGTGGTTTGTCAAAGAACTTCAATATTGTGGATCCTGTCCACAACTCTGGAGTTGTCCTTAGCAATGTTGCCTTGGTTCGCCAATTGTCTTCGATCGACGGTTATGGTTCTTTGTTTCTGCCTGGAATCTCTCAGTTTCTCTTTGTAGAACTGTGTGTGTGTGTGCAGTCGGACAAGTTTCGCTTGTGTCAGGTGCGAACAGCGCTCTCCTCTTGGACACATGAACTCTATGGAGTTCTTTGGTGGTGTGATTGATTATCCAGTGGTCGTTGTTGACGTGTCCGATAGTCTCAGGCGCTGGTGCTGGAACTATGGGTTCTTTGACGCTGCTTCTGCTGGGTGTGAGCGGCTAGCAGTGAAGGATACGCAGCGGGTTTGACCGTTGTTTGCAAAAGGCTGCGAGATCAAACAAGGCATGGCCACTATTGGACACCGGTGTGGGTTGATCATACTGGAAGCGTTACACCTGATCTTGTCACATTGGGGAGTGTGCACAATCGTCATGTGAAGGTTCCGCATCTGGTCATTACTGAGCAAATTCGGGACTTATCCTTGCTCTAAATATCAATGAAGGTCACCATAGGTGGTGAAGTCTTCAGTCGGAGAATCCAGTCAACCTTGAGGTTTGACCATTGGTAAATGTGAACCTGGTGATGCGCGGGAAATTCTCGTACTTCATCCTGTGACGATATGGTTCAATTGCCTTGGTGAATCTCTCCACTGCGTACCAACTGCGCATGGACTTGGCGCAGCCGTTGTCAAGAATGACATGAGTTGGGTTTTCGGCCTGCTTGATGATGGGCGCCATGAATTTACTGCCCAAAGTTTGCCCTTGATTTGGTGTCGCCTGCGGGGTCATGTCGTAGGTCAGGCCATTTTACTCTACTAGCATCAACATCTGCGTTCGGTTCTGCTAGATATGCCATGTTTTTTGGTTCGACCAAAAAAACTCTTGTTCCAATCTGTGGACGTCGGCCATGTTGGCCTTGCCGCCTGATTCTGGTTTCCTGAAAAGGTTGGAACGGTCTCTCCGCCGCCTGCCCTCGCCTTTCCTGCCTTTCTTGCCTTTTCGCCCTTTGCCGGAGTTGAGAGCCCGACGTTGACTCAAGAGAACAAAAAGTACGTCACACGCTCTGGTCTGATGCGATCCGTCCAATTCAATTTGCAATCAGCGCGGCGCTCCCGCGGCAAGCTGCCAATCTCTGGCATCTCGCGCTCTCTGACCTGACAGTTGATGTAAACTACTGCGCGCACGCGCACACACACGCGCACCTAAATTCTGCGAAGGTTGGTAAACGCATCCGTCCCGTGGTGGCACTAAAGCGCGTTACAATCTCCAACGCGCACACACACTCACGTGCAGCGACTCAAGGTGACCAAATAGACCCTCCCAGGTCAACTTTTGTCTCTACACAACACAAACACACAATGAATCCTGTTTCGCCTTCACAATCTCTTTGTTCAAGGATATAAGGTTTTGGATCTACTTCCACCGCTCGGATGGATATTTGGATCCTGCAGAAAGGTTCTGGTGGTGATGAAAAGGGCGTAGCGCTGGACCTTTCTGGTCTCACATCGCCTTCTGTCAGCTCGCTCTGTTTGATGAAGAACAATGTCAACATGTCATCCGACATTGGGAAAGCTTGTGAATGCTCCGGTTGCTTACCTTGGGCAAATCTTTCAAAGTTTTCTGGATGTGTTGCGTCGAGGCAAGTCGGATCGGGCACCATGGGTGCTGCGGCTCCCTGCGGCACACCCTGCGCCATAGCTGCTACTTCAGCATCTCTTTGATTCGGGCCGTTGATTGTCTGAATATATTCACGAATTGTTTGGGTGAATTCGGGAATTGTATCTTCCCAAGAAGCTGCAGCTTTCGCAGGAGATTCTTGGATTTACTAATAAATGGCACGAATTCATTGTTACCTTGGCGATATTTGAAGAAACTGAG